AAAAAAAATAGATCATAACTAAATTTATGCTATTTTTAAGCTAAAATTGTTATATGAACTCTACAGCTTAAGGGATATATTTTCTAAATAAAATATTTAATTTTAGATTTGTTTTATAAACTTTGTTAAAAAACCTTTCTAAAATTATTAAAAAACTTTAATATAATAAAAAATTAAAATTCTTGTATTAGAATTTTTACTATGTTTTTGTCTTTAAAAAAATCTTTACTTTTAAAACAAGTCTTAATTTTTATAAATAAATTACTAAAAATACAATAATAAAAGTTGTAATTCTTTGTATAAACTACAATATTGTATTAGAAATTATAATTTAAAACTAATATTTAAAGAGTTCATTAAGAAATTGTAAATTATTTTTTTAATTAAAAAATTTCTTTAAAATTATTTATTTTTAGCTTATAGGCAATTTAAATTTTTGTTTTATAATATAAATACAAATATTGCAAAAATATAATTTTTATTTTCTAATATTATTATATTAAATTTTATTTAAATATTTTAAATAATTAAAAAAGTAGATTAAAGACATATTTATATTAATTATATAAGCAAATTTGTCTGCAAATCTCTACCAATTAAGAGATAAATATATAGAGATTGCAATAAGTAATAAGAGAGCCAGATTAACAATCCTTATTATTTTTGTATTTGCCAAATTCTTATAGAATCAATAAAAGCTACTAATTAAAATCTTTAATCTATTATAGTAATTGCTATTATTAGCAAATTATAGCAAGAGTAATATCTGTACAGATTTCTAGTTGTATAGTGCGTGATACTTAAAGACTACACAAACTTTAAAAGCTAATAACTTTTGATCTAAAAAAGATATTTTAAAAAAAAAGCTACTATTTTGTAGCTTAATCAATTTGCTACAACTTAGTAGCTTTATTTTTTTAAAAAATTATAATAACTTTTTAAAATATAGCTTTAAAAATAGGGCATTTATTTTTGGTACACACTATATCAAGTGCAGGGTGTTATTTTTTTTTTATTTTTTATTTTTTTTTAAGCGATTCTGCCTTTATTCATATGAACTGTTATATAATTTTTACACCCATGTGTACAAAATCCTTACAACTTATTACTCTAACATAATAAAAACTCATCAAGCATAAATGCTCAATGCGACCTGCTATAACAACTGTCTACTCAGGGATCATGAACTTACTTATAATTTTGTATTCCAAAGGGTACCCCTCCTCAATTACGGACTGGCTGTTGTATACCTCGTTAGGATTACCAACCTTTCTTCCAACTTTTTCCACCAAAATCTGAGCAGAATAACTATCTCCTACTCTTCTATAAGCAAGATCATATATACCACGTTTATGAAAGACCAAAAACATTTCAGAGAATGAAAGAAAAATTAAAACCAAAAACTATAGAAAGAAACTATCCTAAATATAATTCTATTATAAATGGACCAGTAAAAAAAGTAAAAAAGAAAAGTCAGCGATCCTGACGAGAAAAAAGAAAAATGCACTATTATAACCTATGCCAGGTGAGTATAAAAATTATATGTTTATAGCAACACTGCATATCTCTATTGTAAGGCTTCGCCTATATTATTAATTCCTCTCTGACCTTACTATCTTCGGAAGTCTTCTCCCGGGTTCTTCTAATTAGATACTGTTATCATCCCATGCCAACTCTTCAGTTTCCAGTGGCCCTGAGCCAAAACCGGTGACACCATGTCCGCTTATCAGACACGTAATTGCTATCTACCATGTCAACCAGATATGGGAATGTAAACACTGTATAACCTATGCCGATCGTTTGGAGGGGTAAGCCAAATCCCTACTTTTTGTCGAAATTTTTGGAAGATTGACAGGAGAGTAAATAAAAGAAAAAAAAAAAAGAAACCACCTGGTCAAGTAAAAGAGTATAGCTTGAAGAAAGGCAAGTACTTGTTGTTTCTCCTGTGTTCCTCATTTCAAAGTAACAGCCTAAGTGCTTCGTTGACGGAGAAGACTTCAGTCTCTTCACCAAGATTTTGTATCCAAGGGCACATACCTCCTGCCAGTTATCTTGTATACCAATGCTCTTGGCTTGCATGCCAAACACACAGCTTATAAAGGAGTCCCGGAAGAGAAAAACCGTTAATCTCTAGACAAACTACATGTTAGGCCACAACTCTCCAACAAGATTTTTGTTTTTCTTTGGTAGAAAATTCTGGTCCAGATGATCGTCAGGGAGAGTTTTTCAATTGTGAAACGAAAACTTGAGTGCAGGGTGTTATTAGCTAATCAAATTAAATGTTATTATCATAGTATTTTAGTAGAATTAATAGTTGTACAGCATATATAGTTACATAATTATATATATATAATTTGTATAATAACAACAATAACAAATTGCTAATAGCTATACAACTACATATTCTTGTAACACCAACCTATATATATACACTAGTATGTGTGATACAAACCTAAAAAAAATACACAAAGTGAAAACAGAAAAAAGCAAAATGTATACTAATTAATCAACTCTAACCTAATTTTTATTTGGGTTTGTACTATTCATATTGGGTATTTACAGAATATTAAATCATAGAGTCATTGTTTGAACTACTATATAAATTTAATTATGTGTAGCTCTCTTTGAAGTAGAGGCCTACAAATTCCAAATTTTAAGGCCTGGGCTCAGCCCGCAATTAGAGTTACAAATTTGTTGCCGGCCCAGCCTAGCCCACAGCTTAAATTTTTTTACTAAGCCCGACCCGACCTAGCCCAGCTCACATATTTTTAATATAAATTTTTCAAAAATTTCAGCCCGGCCCGGCCTGCAATTTAAAAAATTTTTTTTAGACCCGCCCAGGTCTGCAAACTGGGCTGGGCGAGCCCAGGCTGGGCCGGGCTTTGGAACCCAATGCAGGCCTCTACTTTGAAGTATACAGTATATATATATATATATACGTATGATGCAGAAAACTTAAAAACTTCAATCACTTTATATAGAATAAATGTTAACTAACTCATTAAAGATAAACTAAGTTTGCTATTGCATATATATTGTTCTTTGCTTATTAAGATTAATAATTTAAATTTTATATTTTATATGCTACTAGTTTATGCATCCTCTATATAGATTTTTAGATTTCTTGTACTATATGTACGTATGTATATATCTGGATATAAATTAAAATTAAGCCATTAAATATCACTGTGTATAAATTATAGAATAAGAGTTAGCAATTTATGGCTCTGGCAATAACCAGCCAACCTATTTTATAGCAAAGTTATCAGATGAAAAATTTTACTTAATAAAGTGAACTATAGTTGAAATAGAATTTTTGATATTATGTTCAGATATATAAGAAACAGTACGTATATATAGATTAATATTACTTAATATTTATTTAGAAACTAGAATACTGACTCTGAATTATCATAAAAGATTGGATGATTTGCATTTAACAAAAAAATACATATAATAAGAGTCGACTATATAATTCATTAATATTTTTTACATGTACAGATACTAATATGTTCTAAATAGTATTAAGCTATATTAGTAACTAGAGATTCAAAAAAAATAAAAATTAAATAGATTAAGCATCAAATTCTGAATTATTAGAGCTTTCTCATTCACTTTTATCACTAGCAACCTAATTTAATTCATTTGCTTCAATAAAATTATTGTTATGTAGTTCTTTTTTATAACCATTTTCACCGCAAGATTTACAAATAATTGAAGAATCATAGATCTTATTTTCATGTTTGAGATACCATCAACAATTATAATCTTTATCATCATATTCACTGCATGTATTGGTTTCTGGCTCACATACTAATTTAGGTTGTTTTTCCTGGCTCTTTTGTTATTGACTTTCCAAAGATGATTGATAACATGCTGTTTTTGGTGAATAGCCTCTTCTAGTTTTTTTTCACAGAATTAGTAACTTTAACAGGTGATGACTTAGAAATGTTATTTGGTTCAGAATATTCCTTATATAAATTTGTCGTTTGACTAGAAGAAGATACACTGGTTGTATTTTCAACAAGAGAATGATCATTTTGAACAATATATTTCTTTAAAAACTTAAGAATACATGAATTGTCCTTTTCAATAGCAATATTAATCACTTTATATGCAATTCCAATAGTCTCTGCATAAGCCCTTTTCTTTTGTATTAATTTTTTAGCGACAATAGATAATGGATGCGCCATACTAGATATTTCACCTGTTGCTAAAAATAATTTAACAGAATTATTTGTTTGTAATATGGTGGTTAAAATTGGTTATTCTTCCGCTAGTTTAAATAAGAAAACAGTCAATAAGTTAACAAGAAGTTAAGCACCAAGGTCTTTATCTTGACATTCATCATGTAACCAATGACTTGCTACAAAATTTTGCAGCAAGAGAATATGCTATAACACAAAAAAAATATCTACAAAAATACTCATGATTAATTAATAGCATACAACTGTATATAAATAACCCATTTTTGAGTAAAAATATATGTAATTTAGAATTTTTCCAGATCATATGAATTACTTCCCAGATTTCAACTATTTTGTCCTCTGCTTGTTTAAAAATAGAAAAAGAATAAGCCAATGGATAGTCAAATACATTGTCGATGAACATTGTATCGTTATTTTGCATCTATGATTAGAAAAAAATTTTGATTACGTTTCATTAACCCCTTCACTCTAATTATACTTATTTGCAACAAATTGCTTGTAATTAAACTATCAAAGTAGATAGCACTAATGTAAAGGTATTAAATAATTATTTTACCTGATATAAATGCAAAGACTCAGGACTAATTTTGGCTGAATGATAAAATAGATTATAATTTATTTCATAACGAATCTTTTCAATTATATTGGGTGCAACAAAAACTTTAAGAATAGTATCAATATTCATATACATTGTATTACAAATATTTGGTGGTTTAACATTTGGATTCGATGATTTCTAGCTTATAAAGTCATAATAGTAATCTTGACCAGCTATTAAAAAATCGAGAAAATTAAACAATTCACACAGGGTTATGTTCACAACATGTGATAGCTTTAATATACAAGTTAATCAACTCAACATGGCTAGTTGTCTATGCTCTAGCTGTAAAATGACAGAAGATATATACTCTCACTCAAGAATATTTATCAAAGTATAAAGTCTTATTAAGGTATTGTATTGCTTTTGGGTAATATTCTAATAAATTTTCAAACCAAATCTCAAATACTTATGAGTCTAGTAAGTTACGAGTTTTGTAAAAATCTTTAATAAATAAATCCTAATTAGTTCCTAATTTATTTTTAAGATTTTTTTACAAGTTTTGGCTAATGTGCCAAAGATGTTGAGTCGAAGACATAATGGTTAAAAGGGCAAGACTTATAGCTAGATCAGCATCTGTTAAAATAGTATGTTGATAAAGCCTATCAGTGGCTCTTATTAAAACTTCAAATAATCAAGAATATGATTTAGTTGTTTCATTATCTAATATTGCCTGTGCAATAAGGTGAAATCAATAGATATTGTCTACAGCTATAAATAGTGACAGTGGCATATTATAAATATTCGTCTTTGCAGTGTCATCATGGAGAATAATATCATTATACCAAAGCCAAAGATCGAGTTGATAAGGAGATATTCAAAAAAGATGAGTCAATGCATTAGTATTAGTATCAAATCGCTATTCTACGACCCATCTAGAATCATCATCTTTTTTTTTAAGTAACTTAAACAATAATTTAGATGCATCATTGTCTCTAGAAGAATCCATTCTCTTGAATTTTGAAATTGCATTATATAAATTATAATGATAAATTGGGACTTTATGCTTTCCAGAAAGGAGACAATACTAAGTACTAGCATTTAGCTTTTAATTAAAGTATAATATTCAACTTCTTTTAATATTTCATCAGTTAACCTTCGATCTTTTGAAATAAATCTTGTAGAAATTGGATCAAGTACTGATCAAGTGCATAACCAGTATGAATATTTGTATAGATAGAAATACGATAGCTTTTTAAATTCTTACTCCAGTATATATTAACTTTCTATTTAAAGTCAATCTTACATAATCCAGATGCTTCTGTTTTATGAAATTTTTTTTCTGTTGGTAATTTTCCAGCATGTTAATATAAAAACATTCTTGAAATTTCATAGCCAGTATTTGCATCTTTTTCAACACACCTTTTTTGAATTCTGAATCCATATAAATTAGTAAAAGTTTTAACTTTAGCATATGCTTTCTTAGTAGTTTTAAAGAGTTGCTCTAGCAGTATAAATATTGTAAAGCCTAGCTTTATTTGACTCTTAATAAACACAAAACTATAAATACTTACCCTCATAGAGCTCTAATGGTTCATTATACTTTTCATCTGATAGTTCGTCAGAATTACTATATTCAATCTCAATGTTCAAATTTAGATCAATACTAGTCTCTATATTCTCTATATTGAAAAACTGACAAAATTATAAAGATTAATCACAATATTAGTACCTAGCTATAAATTGTAATATTGATAGTAAATGAAAATTCAAATAATATTAAATAATTACCAACCTTTTTCACAAATTACTTTTAAAAAAACAATGTCAAATAGGTTAATACAATTTATTGTATTATAGTGATTACAAAATTGCCTTTCTTGATTCTATTTAATTAATAATTTTATTAATTTCTTTGCTTTTAATACTCTATAATTTTTTGTTTAGAGAAAAAAAAATTTTAATAGTATCTAAAATTCTGCGTGACTTCACAAATGTGCCAATAAAGGAAATATTGTCTAGTAATTTTTAAGTTTCTTTCGATTTTGTTAATTTAACTCTTTCTGCATTACAAAAAATATACTTGCTCTCATATGGAAGCATCTATATATAACATTATGTACTCCTACATAGTAGCTCTTGACCCCCCCAGACTATATAAGAAATTTTTAAAAATCCATATGTTTATATATATAATTTTACAAAAACTTAGATATATTATGATCTAGTGATCTAATCATGATGATTTTGATACCATTCGATTCGTCTTAATGAGACGAATCCAATTGTATCAAAATCATTTTATTTGGACTACTAGATAACGTTTTATTAACGAAACACTATTGATTTTATAGTAATTTTATAAGAAAACATAATAACCAATATTCTAGTGATCCAAATCAAATAATTTTGGTACCATTCAACTTCTCTTCTCGAGATAATTCAAATGGTATTAAAATCATCCAATTTGGACTACTAGATCAAATTTTAGACAAATTTTTATAAAAAAATTGCGTTATATTTTAGAAGACCCCTTT